TGCCGACACCCCAGAAAAATAACAGTCAAACTATGCACCAAAAGCGAGATCCACCTCACGTGGACAAGTCAAAATGCTTAGTTTGACACATTCAGAGCAGTCGCATTTCGGCATTTCCAAGGAAAACCCGGCGTCGGCTTTCCCGAGTCGTGGGGCCGGGGGTAATGACCCTCGTTGATTCTTCCACCTGGCGGAGGAACGAAGGGATAGAAATTGCCTGCATTTGGACGCTCTTCACGATTTCCCTGATTTGAAAAGTTGCTGGAATTGTTCATCAACGGAACAAGTTCACTAAAATCTCGCAAACATGGTCAGTCCATCTACTCCCCACACAGGCGAATCCGCCGCTTACCGCGTCAACAGGTTCCTGAAGAAGCTCGTCTCCGCATTATCGTTGTAGGCGCTGGCCTGAGTGGCATAGCCGCTGCCATCTCCGCCGCTCTGTCGGGCCATTCTGTCCAAGTGATCGAGCAAGCAAAGGAGCTTGCAGAGGTTGGCGCCGGTCTGCAGATTACACCTAATGCATCCCTGCTGCTTAAGCACTGGAAACTTCCCCAGTCGCTGTGGGATGCAGCTGCCGAGCCAACAAAGCTCACTGTGCATAAGTACTCGGGAGAAGTGCTCGCTCAGGAAGAAGACTTCAATAAGAACATCCGCGCAAAGTATAATGCGCCCTTTGTTGACCTGCACCGCGTCGATTTGCAGCAGGCACTGTTTGCGCGCGCTCAAGATCTTGGTTGTACATTCCACATGAGCCAAAAAGTCAATCGGATCGATTTTGATACTACCACTGTGCATACCTTGGCTGGGGAGAAATACACAGGTGATTTGATTATTGCTGCTGATGGTCTCTGGTCTCGGTGTCGCGAGGCTTTTGTTGGGAAGAAGGATGAGCCTCTCCCTACGGGTGATTTGGCGTACCGAATTGTCTTGAACGCGGATCAGATCTCTGATCCGGAATTGCGGGATCTGGTCGAGAATCCTGAGGTGCATTTCTGGGCGGGTCCCGGTTCTCATGCAGTTGCTTATTCCCTTCGTGGTGGGAAGATGTTTAACATTGTTCTGCTTGTGCCGGATAACCTTCCTCCTGGGGTTTCGAGACAGGCTGGTTCTGTTGATGAGATGCGGGAGTTGTTTGTTGGTTGGGATCCGATGTGAGTATCATGGAAAGATCACACGAGAGAATGTTTGCTGACAAGGTCGCTTAGTTTGAACCGATTCTTGGAGTATGTCACCACAGTAGACAAGTGGAAACTCATGCATCGTAAGTGAAATCCTTCAATCCCAGATGAGAACACTGAAACTGATAAATTCAGACGGTGAAATGGAACGATGGGTCAACGATACCTCCAACCTTGTCTTCATGTGAGTCCTCCCAATGAGCCCAGATGGGAGAGATGAAGACTTCCGTACAGTACTGATGTGATATAACAGCGGAGATGCCTGCCACCCCATGCTCCCATACCTAGCCCAAGGCGCCAACTCCTCACTAGAGGACGGTGCAGTCCTCGGCCTCCTGCTAGGACACATGACAAACAAGACACAACTCCCTCGTATTCTGCGGCTGTACGAAAGCATGCGCAAATCCAGAGGAGAATCGATCGTCAAGGAAACATTCAAACAGGTACTGAATATCTGTCCGCTATATTGGGAAGCAAGAAATGCTGACAGCACGACAGAGACACGATTTCCACATGGAGAATGGCCCAGAGCAGGAGAAACGCGATCAGGTCTTCCTATCGCAGTTGGGTAAAGAGATCAAGGGCGCGTTCCCGAGTCGATGGTGAGTTTCACTCTGCTTGAATCAAATTCGTAAAAGCCTTACGACTGACACAGTTATTAGGACATGCCCCGAAGTACAGCCATGGTTGTACGGGTACGATGCCGTCAAAGAGGTTGAAACGGCCGTCGCGAAGAACCCGGATGTATTCGCATCACAAGCCTCCCGTCGTTCATCGTCTTGTTTGATTTTGTAGTTTTCTTTTTTTGTATATCCAAATTGTTTCAGCCAAAGTGTGGAATTTTTATAGCACACTATATAGATATTTACAAAGAGATAGCGATGTGATCATAGAGAATGGCAAAGGTCGTTGAAATGGATTACCCATCTAACATTGGAAGTCCTCCAATATCGTCGAATAGACGAGCAATACCCTCGAAAGAGTAATCCGGGAAGCCGAAGCCGTAGGCCCATTCCTATTTCAGGGTTAGAAGAATCAATAATGATAGGGGAGTTAATGGTGGAACACACGGGAACTTCAAATCCTGGCCCGTGGCTTGCTTCCACAGATACGGGGATTTGTTCGCCCTCTGCCGTCCCTGCTGTCGGTTGGGGTGCACCGGAGGCTCGGAAATCCCTAATGTATTGTCTGATGATTTCTACTGACTTGCGAGCCACCACGGACTCATCCATAGCCTCTAAGATTTCCACACCCATTTCCACAGATTTGAGTAGAGGCATAGTTTCGGCGCTCATGCCAAGCTTGGACATTGGAAGAAGAAGCGTGGATGTGGCGAACATCACGTAGGTTGTGTTGTACCACCTTGATGAAAGTCAGCAGAAAAGCATAGTCTTTGAATGGAAATATCATACCAGCATCGGAAGAAAGTGTGAACTCGGTAGATATCATGGATGACCTGGATAGTCTTCATGGCTGCATCCAAACATTTGTCAATTGTCTGGTCCAATTCGTTTGGCGGATGTCTTAGTTTGCGAGTGAAATGGCTCAAGAAGGGTCTGAAGAGTAGCATCTTGACATTATAGTACCCTGGAACAAGTGTTAAATCTAGACAAGAATCGTTATAATGGATAGACTCACGGATTCCCAGCACAAGCCGTTGTCTTCGTGCCCACTTTGGATCACGCAGGGCACTGCGGGACAATCTATAACCACCGATATCTGGCTTGATCTTTTCTGGCAGTCGTGCGAGCCATCGATCCATCTCCATTTCGATCTGAAGGGCAAGTTGTAATTTCTCTTGCAATGAAATGCGAGAATGGTAGATCTGGACGGATACCCGTCGAATAATCTGTGCAAAATCGATCATCCATGGAATGATGGCGAACTCGGAATCATCTCGCTCTGGAATTGCGCGATTGTGATATTCATCCATTCCAAGGGTATCAGGGCGTCCAACTGAGAAGCTCATTTCTCTGCATTTTATCAGCTACATATCAACAGAGGACCACAGTATGCAATGGACTTACATTTCCAGAGAGAACAGACCCCTTTTTAAACAGACTAAGTTAATAACTGACCAAAAGCAACGAAGTTGTCGTGACTTACCACCAAGTCTTCGATATCCAACCGGCACGTTGCGCATTATCCCCTGGACACGGAACCTCTCGATTGAAACCAGCAGACAGGCATGTACGCACAGCCAGACCAAGATACATATAAGCGACTGATTCTGTGTGAGCATTCTGACAATGATAAGCGAGGCTGAGGACTCACGGTTAGGATTGAGTTCGTTCTGGCAAATTTTCGCCTGGCATGCTGTCAGCTCATGATCTGTACCACAGGTGTTAACAACGTACCATAATATAGAGACACTGGACTGTCTCAATATCGTTTGAAAATCGCAGATGATTCAAGTAAACCTGCGCCTCGGCAAACAGCTTCCGACTCCATTCGAAGCGCCCCAGGCCAGCCAGGGTACCTTCATCCCAAACTCGTACCAACGACCCAAAGGATAGAATACTAAGGTACAACGCAACAAAGCTGGGCTCAGGGGCACGTGATCGGTTAAACCATAAGTCATTAGCGCGCAAAAGGAAGTCCTCCTTATCAATGAGAGGATGGATGAAGTGAATGTTCTCGAAATATCCATTCATAAAGATATGAGCTTGATCGAAGTAATAATTCTGCTGTTCAATTGACAGCATCTGCGCCGGTCCTGCGGTGCATGATGGCGAAAAGCTCGGATTGTGAAGTGTCGAGATGAGCGAGTAATCAGCTGCACGAGGATATGGTTCTACCTGGCCCTTGGGCTCGCGCGTTTTTTTAAGGTGGCCAAGAAATGCGGCGGAAGATGTACTGCCGTGGAATTCAACGCCGTTCGTATGGTGATTGAACTCGTTGAGCTCGTCATCTGCGCTCTCGGCGGACTCCTCACGTCCCTCGGGTATTTTGGCTATTTCCCGGGGTGTGGATCCATGCCGGGGCATGGAGCATGGAGTAGTTTCGGCTCCGGCTGTTGGTTGAGTGATGGGGTTTTTGGGGACAGCGGGTGATGTTCCCGATATGGCGACTGGGCGGCCCTCCACCGCACGAAGTCTTGATGTCAGCTCCTCGACTTTTTTCTCGAGGTCGACGACATAGCTGTCGAGTTGTTAGTAAATTGTTTTTGTGCGATGTGGGTCTCCAGGGTCCAGTCAAGCGGAACATGATTCTAGTAGAACACTCACGTTGCTGAGCGATTGCTTTCGCGCTCTCGATAATTGCCCTGGTACACGCAGACAAGGTCGCTTTCTGTAGAATATTAGTCAGCGCCCATTGAAAAGTTGCTTGATCAGCAAGGAACCGACTTTTACAATGCAAGCAGGGATATTGCTCATCGCACTTATACTTCTTCAGCCTGCATCGGTCGCACGCCTGCGCAGCGCGTGGCCGTTTGGCGCGCTTCGTAGACTGCTCATCAGCAGGGGGAAGCGGAGACTGTAGATTTTGCATTATCGAGACATCATCTGTAAGCAATCTGATGTATGTCGCAGTCACAGTGGAGTCCAAGAGGATAACTGGAGGAGGCCGGAATTTCCGGAGGCTTCGCTGCACGTGACGCACGGAGGAACAACGCAGGCCAATGTGAAATTTGGAGGCCAATGAGTTAGAGATGCGGGGTATAATAAATTAATTAGAGCCAAACGGTTAGTTAGAGGGATATAGTTCATACTTGGGAGGTTGGATTGCGTGTTCTGAAAGAAATTGTTGAGATTGGGGTGTGGCCTCTCTATATTCACTAACTTATATACATTCGGCTAACTTTCCAAGGCTGTCTCGCTAAAATGTCACATTCAGACGCACTGCGGCCGATTCCACTTCAGACTGTTCATATGCTGGTGCCTGATCTGGCAGCACTACGCCCTCGAACGGCTTGCCCGCAGCGTGGATCAATGATTCAATACCATCGCCATCGGTGAAAGAGTGGAACTTAACAAACTTGCTCTCAAAGACGAGTGAAAATGTCTGTCCAGCAGGAATAACAATAGTCTCACCCTCCCGGAAGACGGCATCATCAGCACCTTGCAGCTTAACCCGGAGCGCGCCCTCCATGACAAGGAAGCAGTGATCCACCGTGGGGAAAGTCATATACTTGGAGAACACAGTCTCGCCGTAATCCTTCGACGACTCAATGCTGGAGATGGCACAAACTCCAGTGCTCTGTGTTGTCGTGACAAATGGACGAGACATCACACCTCCAAGCATCCATTTGGGACCGGTGTTGGCGCGCAGGAAGTATCCAGTCGGGCCTTCCGGTAATTTCTCGTCTTCCTTTGTCCACTCAGACACTTGTGGGGGCACATGGTGCGGTTGGAAGACGACATCAAACTGTCCCTTGGCGGCCATGACCTTGGGAATAAGAAGAGATTTCAAATCACGATTATCACCTTCGGGAACGAGGACTCCCTCAAAGGGCTCTGACACATAACGGAAGAAGTCGACCCAGTCACCGGGGGTGATCAAGCCCTGAAGCTCTGTATGGGGGCCAATCATGTCGGGCATGTGAATGACGTTCTAACCAGGAAATTAGCATACGTCGCATTTCTTTTCTCTCTCAATAATTCGTTCACACACCGGAGGAACATATGCAAAGTCACCCGGACCCATAATCCGGCACTGGTCTCCATTATAGAGCTTCAGGAAGCCCTTTGTGACCAAGAAAACATCGTGTGCGCGGTCATGGTAGTGGAATCCTGGAGCATCGGAAAGGACAGCACCGCTTGTGAACACGGCCATCAATCCACCGGTTTGCTTTGCAGAGGTCAAGATGCGGAAGACGCCTTTGCTACCCGGGATCGTGATCCGCTCTCCCTCCAATTGAGGGATGGCATATGGGATCCGCGACGCGGGAGGTTGGTTGGTGAATTCCAGAGACATTATGAACTATGAGATGTGATAAAGTACTGTAAGTGGAAAAAGATCGCGGGGTCCGGAGTTTTAAAGCTGCGACAACTTTTTTTGGTATGCGGGGGAGCATCCGAGGGGCGGAGAATCCGTGGCCGGAAGATCCGAGTCGAACTGGAGTTGGGATATACTTAGATGAAGCTATAAGTTAGTGCGATGGAGAGTTGAGAGATGTGGCGGGGTATAGCCACTAGATCGAAAAGGTGGAATGGTAGAAAAACATGTTTGAATAATCCATCGATAGGTACTTCACTAGAGCTAACTAATTATTTTGGATTTTCATTCTAAAGCGGTCTTTGGAGGTTAATATCTGCCAAATCGGGAGTTGTACTCCGACAACGGTACATGAGGCTTCGCTTCTAACAGCCGGCACAACCCTCACCTCCGCATTGAGGACATGCATACAATATCCCAAAGACCAGACTAATCAGCTACAGGGACCTGATAAATGCCTTTCCGGGCCATCCGGATTGGCCAATTCGGCCCCAACTCGCCACCAAATCGAACGGGTAAGAAATTTCCCACAATCCCCACGAACGTGGGGAAGCTTCGCCGCTCACAGCTGTGGGGTTTGAGCGAGCTATAATACCTTTTGGAGGGGCTCACTTGCTCTTCTTCAATTCAGTTCCCCAGATTTCCGTGGTCAAATTTGTATTATCAATCAATCATGGCGAACCAGGCAATGTTGGAAAAGCCCACTGGCGAGTACCGACAATACCTACCAGACCTGAGCCTAAAGCGCTTCGAGGTGATGTGCCAGCAAGATGCGCACGAATACGCCCACGACTTTAAGACCGGACACCAGCCGCCATGGCTGCATGCACTGTATATGCATTGGTTGGAGCTATTGCAGGAGCCATTCAAGGGCGTGACCACCGACGGTAAGTACAATCGCAACGCACCAGCGGAGATTCGACACCATACCATATCATATACATGAATTCTAACAACAAACCCCAGGAAACGTCCGCCCAGGTCTATTCACATTACAAGACGAAGATGTCCCCATCCAACAAATCGTGGACGCAACCAACGCAGTAACAGCCCAGCTAGACGACAAGCAACAAGAAGCCATAAACTACCACATCGACTCCCCCCACTGGCGCACATGGTCAAACCCCGAATTTCTCCTCGCGCACAAAGGCATCCGGCTCGACGAAGTCAACTCGCAAACCCGCAACGCAGTAATGAACGTGCTAAAGACAACCCTCTCCCCAGAAGGCTACGAGAAAGCCGTCAGCGCCATGCGCATCAACCACTTCCTCGGCGAGCTAGTCAAGTCCCCAGCAGTGATGAACGAATTCTCCTACAACTTCGTCCTCTTCGGGCGGCCCTCGACCACCAGACCGTGGGGCTGGTCCTTCTACGGCCACCACCTGTGCCTGAACATCTTCCTGTACAAGGGCCAGATCATCGCCTCACCATGGTTTACGGGCGCAGAGCCTAACGAGATTGATGCGGGTCCGCACGCTGGTACGCGCATTATGCAGATCGAGGAGAAGCTGGGCTTGCAGCTGATGCAATCTCTTTCTGCGGAATTGCAGGCTTCAGCGCGGGTCTTTGCTCTCATGAAGGATCCGGCTATGCCGCCTGGGCGCTGGAACAAGGATGATCAGCGCCACTTGTGTGGTGCGTACCGGGATAACCGGGAAGTGCCGTATGAGGGCATTCTGGCGTCGACGTTTAGTGCTGAGCAGAAGGGGCTCATGTATGGCATTCTTGAGCAGTACTTGCTTTATCTGCCGGCGAAGTCGCGGGCTATCAAGATTGATCAGGTGCGCGCGCATGAGGATGAGACATACTTCTGTTGGATTGGGGGCTTTGGGGATGAGGATCCGTTCTATTATCGCATTCAGAGCCCTGTGATTCTTGTTGAGTTTGATCATCACTCCGGGGTGTTTTTGAATAACGAGGAGCCGAAGAAGTTCCACATTCATACGCTGTTGCGTACGCCGAATGGTGGTGATTATGGTCATGCGCTCCGGCCGTTGATTCCTGCTGTGGAGGGTTTGAATGGTAAGGAGATTGTCTGGTAGGTCCAACCTATCGAGTGGATATTGGCTGTGATGTACATTGATTGTATGAGATGGATTTTGGAGCATTTTGCTGTCATTTGCGCATTCTAGGGCTGCGTGTGCGGTGCTGCTTTTTAATTCTTGTTTCCAGACTGGTGTGCGTGGCTGATTTCGATGTATTGTTGTCTATAAGGTCACCAAAACGATACAGGAAGATATGATTGATTGAACGACCCGGAATGACCTCGAGAACCAGTGATAGATACATCAGAGATGTTCATAGAAACAGATATGTCATTTTGTCCGTCATTCCAATTAGTCGTAGCATATTCCAGAGGGTAAAACGATAAATCCACCCTAAACGCCAAAAATCATAGCTAAAAGACGAAAGAGACTAGACATGAAACAATCTGCAAACCCAGAGATAGCCCAAAAATATGAGATACAGTAAGAAATAAAGGAATGAAACACAGTCAACCCCGAAGAATAACAAAAATGGCGTATGATAGCATAAGCACCTGCCCTGTTCATCATCCGTGTGCGCATATAGCTCCCAGATACCCGAAAGCAGATTTTAAGAGACGCTAAGCTCATCATGATCAGGAATCAACTCATACCCACCCTCAGAAGGAAGGACCTTGGCAGCCACAATAACCGCGCCCGCGCAGAAAAGGCCAATACAACAACTGACAGTGCAAAAGATCCAAGACTGGTCCAGTTTCCAGCCAACAAAGAAGCGATCCTCGTTATCGAACAGGTATGCCTGCAAACACGAACAATCAGTTTACGATTCCACCAGCAACAAAAAGCAGAGTCGACTTACCACTATCGACATACTGGCCGCCTGCACAACAACTGACGTCAGAACCAGTAAACTGAGAACACCCCACCCATTCTCACGCAGCCGTTTCCCGCCAGAGAGAATAACCAGGTATGCGACAATGCTCATACCCTCCAGCACGACGGCAAAGGACATCAGAAACCCGACAGACCGCCACATCGAGCAGAAGTATCGATCTTCGCCATGGCAATCTTCGCGCTGGGGGAAGCTTTCGCAGGTATCCGTTAGGGAGGAGCATCGGTGGTGGAGACCGTAGGAGTAATGGTGGGCGGGCTGGAGTGGAGCGATTAGTGTTAGTCTGGAACCTTGAATCTCGGAGCTTGGAGCTTGGAGCTTGGAGCTTGGAGCTTGGGGAGTTTGGGGAGCTTGAAGAATGAAGGTTGTCGATCGCGACAAGACAGAGATATACCTTTTCACTGTGATAGCTGACCCATTTTGGGATGATGATCGAGGAAAGTGTTAGACCGAATGCTGTTCGCCGGGTTTGGTTAGTATCGAGTTACAACTTGCCTACCTGACGCAGCTGGGCTGGCTGGTATCCTCGTCCCAAGTATAGCTACTTACAAGCGAGGAATATGACAAGCGTCGCGGAGTAGACGATTGTCTTTGTGAAGAATCCCGTGTAGTTTCGATCAGTGCCGCGAGGCACTAGGTTGAAGTCCATCGCTGCCTGTCTGGTTTGGAGTTGATCGAGTATGTGTCGATAGGATTTGGTTCGCGCGATAGCGACCTGCGCATCGGACGAACGTATGCAGGCAATATGAAGTGAGCCCAAGATTCCGACTAGTTGAGAGAGGAAGAGAAACAAGGGAGAGGGGTGGTGGTCTGTGGTATGTGGTACTAAGTGAGGGTCCGGGGACTGATGCGGGCCGATAAGCTCACCGCTAGAGATCACGAGGTATACAGACGGATTCGGCCAAATCCTTGGAAGTACGAGTATAAGTTACAACTTAAGTTGAGTGAAGACATGTGCAAAACTCTACTTCCCCGCAGACCAAATCAAGGCAGATGTCAATGCGCCATGACGATCTGCGCATGTTTCTGGGTCCAATCGGATGCCGGGTCATTTTCTGCAGTAGGTACATTTTCAAGCTTTTTGTCCCACTGAAGACTTACAGATGGTCATATGTTACAGGTTTATTTTACATTAGATAGAATAGATCAATACAGACCAGGGATACCAGAACAAGTGTACTCTGTATACAGAATATCCATGTGTAATAAAGTAATCACTCTTTGGGAGCCTCAAGGGACAACCCTTCGGAAAAGACATCATCATTAGAACTAGGAGCAAAATACAGTCATAATATACACGACAGCATGGTGCCACAAAAAAAAAGAAGAGGTCATGGCATGGCGCGAAAGACCGACCCGGATGAGAACATGCGGATCTAGAGCGAAGCATCAAGCATCAAGATCACCAGAAACAATAATAAAAAAACGCCTGCCAGATACATTCCGTATCAAAGGAGTAAGGATAAAACAATTGCGCCAGGAACTGTCATTGCACTTGCACTTCATTCCGGGCGGCTTCCTTGAAGCATAGCGCGGAAATCGTCGTTGCTCTTTTTGGGCTTGCCACTGTCACCGTCGGTAGTGGTGTCCATTTTGTCGGAACCTGCCGGCGCAGGGGGTTGCTTCTCACTGGGAGCTGCGGTGTATCGTTTCTGTCCAAGACCACCTTTCCGGCCTCCGCGCGCGCCAGGCTGCTGGGGGCGTTTGATCGGACCGGTGGGCTGGAGGTTCGTCTTCTTCGTTGGGGCTTCGTGCTTGAGGGAGGTGACCTTGCTGGTCTTCTGCTCAGCGTGTTGTTGCTTCATATCGTAAACCCTGCCAACATGGATCGGGCGTCCAGGGGCAATTTCCTTCCCTTCAAGCGCCATCGAGGCTTTGCCGGCGTCGTGGATGTCGACAAACTCCACAACAGCACCTTGATGATCCGGCCGCAGAGAGATCTTGACCAAGTGGCCAAATGGCTCAACAAGGGCGCGGACGCGATCCTCATTAACGGTGTCGGGGATGTTCATCAAGGCAATTGTGCGCTGGGCGTGCTCACCAACCGGCACTTCCAGATCGTCCGGGCCTGTGCCGTTGGCCTCGACTGAGGGTGATCCCGCCGTGGCAACTTGAGAGATGACGGTGTGGGTGCTGCGCTTGGCCGGGCCACCAGCCTGAGCAAGTTCGACACGAAGGGGGCGCCTCATGAACATTTTCTCATGCATTGCGAGGGCCTCATTGGCTTCATTCTTAGAAGAGAAGACAATAGAGCCAAAGCCCTTACTACCACCATCGGCCTTGCGCTCAATGTGGACCTTTTCAATGGTGCCATACTGAGCAAATGCTTCTTTGAGATCTTCATCACTGGCCTTCCAGTCAATGTTAACAATGTAGAGCTCTCGTCCATCGTATCTCGCGCCACTGCGAGCTGCTTTCTCCGCAGGGTTAGAGATTTTAACAACAAGCTTCCTGCCCTTTTCATTCGGCATTCCATTGAGCTCTGTAGCGTGGTGGGCCGCGGCTGAGGTAGCAAACTGCACATAGCAGAAGCGTCGACTAGTGTCGAATTTGAGGGAGGGCAATCTAACGTCAACTACTTCGCCGTACTAATCACCACAAGTTAGTAAGAGTGTTGCCTAGCTAGACAAAAAGTGCATACCTTAGAAAAGAGGCTGCGGATGTACTCTTCATCCGCAGTTGAGGCAAAGTTGGTGACCCATAACGTCGTGTCTGCTCCAATCTGTACATCAATGACATTCTCGGTGTCATTGAAGCGTTTTTGGTCACGGGTGACAGCACTAAGGGCCTCGTCCTTGGTTTCGAACTCGATGATCGCAACCTCGGAGTTCTTGTCCTCTCCTTGGAGCATTCGGACGCCGTTGATGGTACCGACCTATAGCTATAGTCAGCAAATATCCAAAAGATTTGAACTGTTTGAACTTGATAGACAACTCACATGACGGAAGAATTGCCGAACCTGATGTTCAGTCGTGTCGCGAGGTAGGTTTTTCACAATCACAGTGGCGTGCTCTCGGTCCCGTTGGAGAACGGCAGGTGCCTCTTCTTTCGGCTCCTCCTTGGCATCCGCTCCTTCATTGCGGGCCTTCTTGCTGGTTGGCATATCCTCCACATCGTCCCGCTTTCTCTTCTCGTGAGAAGGAGCAGCCTCCATCGCAGCCTCCCACTGTTGTTGTTGCTGCTGCTGAGCCAATGTCGCTGCCTCCTGTGCCTCGCGTTCTCTGCGAGCAGTAACGGCTCTCATTGCCTTGCGGGTCTCGATCACGGCAAGCTGTAGCTCATCCGAGTCCTCATAATCCTCGCAGTGAGTAATATAAGTCTGGACGATCTTGTCCGGCCAATCCAAATCCGTCCGCTTGAGCGCTTTTTTCAACACGGCAGTAGCGTAGCTCGGGTTGGGGGTTCGGCGCGCAGCATCCACAGTTGCCTCTCCTTGAACGAACTTGCTCCAGCAGATGAGTTCCCATCCGTAGTAAGCGAGCCAAAATTCATAGCTGCCACCACGTCGGGCCATAAGGCCCTTGAAGGTCTCACGCGCGGTGTCCCAGCTACCGCTTTCACTGGAGAAACGAATGTAGATCCGCTCCAGGCGGAAGAGGGGGTCGCCCTGATACGCCGGGCCGTATTTCTTCTCGCCAAGTTCCTGCACACTCTCAATGGCAGAGCGTATGCCGACTTCGGCGACATCCAGATCTTCATCCGTAGAGTCAGGGAGGAAGGCACGTCGGCGAAGGTAACTACACCAAGTGACGTGGACCTTTAGAACCTCCTCCAGTCCACCAGCGTCAAGGAGTCCAGTGCTAGTAGCCTTGTGCTTGATGTCAGCGATGATATTGAACGGCTGATTTTCTCTCTCTGAGCTCAAGAGATACTGAGACCAGAGATTTCCGGACCAGGGACAATGACGAGTCGCACGATCAAGAGTCGATATTGCTGTAGTAGAGGTACGGCGGTTGAGAGATTCGCCGATGAGAAACATGACATAGTCCTCCCAGAGCGACACATCGGTGGGGTAGTGAAGGACGGCGCGCTGGTAGATAGCATTGACGAGGTCGAAACTAAATTCTCCTCGCTTCCGTCGATCGCGAGTCAGTTCCCAGTCAATGTAATCGGAGTACACAGTCCACTCGAGGGCACGGTCACCAGACTCTTGCACCTTGGCCAAGCGAAGTTCAAACTCCTCTCGTGCGTTGTAAAGTGCCTTTGGCTCCGCCGCCCGAGCAACGGTCTCTGACATGATCTCCTCATACTTAGAGTTGTAATAGGTCGAAACAAAGCCCGAGAACTTCTGGAAAGTCTGATCCCAGGTAGCATGGGGGGTCTGCAGACGAACGTCATATAGTCCTCGAAGGTGGTTGATCTTTTCCTGCGAAGGCGCGCGAGCGATATCCTGGGCATACAGATCGAGCAGGCGGTCCCACACCAGATGGCTATTGTTGATCCTCCATCTGGTAGCATCCGCACCCCTCTGCCACACTTGCAAGACTGACTGCCAGGTGAATACCTCGCGGCCAACCGCCCGATCTTCCTCAGTCCACTGGCTGGAGCTAGCTTCGCCATGGGCGGAGTGGTACAGATAAAGCACCCATTCGCCGTAGATATTCCAGAGTTTTGTGCTGCCAAACTCCTCTTCCACCGATCGCTGGCAGAGTTCCATAACAGCGATACGGCTGTCCACATCATGAGCAAGCATACTCTCATCCTGAATCCATTCGGCCCAGAGATCTTCTCCCATAGCGAAAAGCTTGTCCATCTCTTCGCGGGCTGTCTTCAAGTCGTTGAGCAAGTCGTAGCGTCGTGGGTCGCCGTGTACATCAGGGTTGTTCGGAGGATACACGTGGTTCACGAACCCTGCATGCAGCAGTCCGATGAACTGCACGTGGGCATCGTGCGTGTGGGGATTCAAGGAAATCCGATGGAATAATTCAGTCGCCAACCGCTGCGCTTCCGGATCGAGCGAGGTCGCAGCATAGGTTCTTTGGGAAGGATCCCGTCCGTCAGACATCGCGATATCGAAGGAGATTCGGGAGGTAGGGGTGTTGTGGTTGACGGAGTTTACGTGGGGGTGAATGGTCGAGGGAGACAGCTGGTGCTCATAAGACTGGGTGCTTCGCAGCATACTAGCAGCGTTCGGACGTTGCGGTTGGTGGTGCTGCATCGAAGCCAGGTCGGCCAGAGTGTCCATCCCGGGTGTAGAGGCTTGTCGCGACGGTGGGCCTTCGGTCACAGGTGATGTGCCATTTCCGCCGCTGGCCTTGGCTCCGGCAGAGGAGCCTCCATCTGTAGGTGAAGACTCTGGGATCCCAGCAGGCGCGTATACCTGCTGCGCGAGGGGCGACGAAGTCTTTCCCTTCCGTCTCGGGCCAGATCGAGCTCTCTGGATAGCCTTGTGGGGAGATGGCCCGGCGGCGGGGGAAGCGTTTGACGTGGGAGCGGGCACGGGCGTCGAATTTCCAGACTTGGGATTCGAGTCCGGCGAGAGGAGTGAATTGATGTCCATGTTGGTGGGAAGATGGAGCTAGATCGCTAGAGTTGAGAGGTTAAGGACAAAAGTACCGGAAACGTTTGTCACCGTCGAATATCCACGGATAGTGCTGGAAGTAGCAGAGATCCAGATCATACGACAGTCTTGAAGTTCCTCAACAACAC